AATCTAATGTATGTATAAATTGTAAATGAAGATTAGAGAAAACCTACTTTTTGTCTAGTTGTTTATAAGTCATCGGATGCTCGTTCGATCTTCATTGACACCTCTTTTTTTCTGTCGTTGTTGAAGAAAGTAATTTTGGTATCGATAATTGGAAGAGACACGCAGTTTTGCCAAAGCGGAAAAATACAAAATATATTAAATAAAAACAGCGAAACAACTAGTTTCCATTTTAGAGTTGATTGGATGTCGTCATTTTTTGAATAACTTTTCATTGACATATGCTATCGAGCCTGAGGTTGCTAAGCTGGAAAGAGTAGACTTCAATGCATCTTTCTATATAACTCGTTGGGTGCGGGCGTGTATAAACAAATAAAAGTCGGCAATCACAACAGTACCCATATCCAAACATGCACACCAACATCCACAAACTCTAACCCCGCCCCCATACCCTCAGTAGTATAATTTTTAACTAAAATACGACTTTAAATGATCTCAGAAATGATGTTTTATTGGTTTCATATACACTAGCTGGATGTTGCCGTTCATCTCGATGGTTCTCCTTACTTTTTCTTTTGGGTTTACTGTATAAGAGTTGTACTACCATTTTAAAATAAGTAGCACAGTTTATCTTCGTGATGTTTGTTTCCAAGACAACACGCTTCAATGCAGTTTCTTTACTTCATTCGGTATAATTTGCTTTATCTTTTTGAGTAGATCAAGCAAGAATCTAAGATATCAAAAATATGGTCACCTGATCATTTCATGCATCTCGTTCAATACAATGAACTATATTTTCGACATTGCTGCCGATGCAAGAAAATTATGGCGCTAGCAGAGCTGTATTCTTTTTGCTTTGCATGTGCCGAGATGTTTTCTCTTGCTTCCGTACCTCAAGTTGAACCCACCTGCTGCGTGCCTATCAGGGCTCGAAATGGGCCACTTATTTGTGGCCCGGCCTGGCCCAGGCCCAACGCAAATTTTTTTTTAAGAAACATTTTATCTAGAATTGATCTTAAAGATCAACACCGTGCTTCGAAAGAAAATTTTGTATAGCACACCATAGATTAATTTATGAATTTAATGACATCAGGTCATTGAAATGATAACGGACCATCCATAAAGGATGTTCGAAAAAAATGGTGAGGGAGTCGGCAAAAACCGGACAAGGGAGGCGGAAAGCCAGGCGAAGCCGGACGTCCAGAAAATAGCTGTGAAATTTTTATTTTATGTCTTTAACTGTCGTACGAAAAGGTTACTTTTGTGAATGCGACTGTGTCGAAGTGCGTTTCGTTGATTTAAACTGATAAGCAAGGTGTTCGTCGCTCTCGTTGTTTACTGAGCGTATATTGATGTTGTTTCTTTGATTTCTACCGTTTCATTTTTTGCTAGAAAAACCTATGCGTCGTCCAGCGCAATCAGTTTGATTTATTGAAAATTATAAAGTATGGCTGGCTAGTGAATTTTTCGGGACAATGAAACTTGTGTGATGATCAGTGTCATAAACTTCAACATTTTTCTTTATTTTAATCTTTTTCTGTTTGTCTGTAAGAGATAGGTATTTTTTCTGTGGATACATGTGATTTAATAGTGAATTTAATTAAGATTTCTGTTGGAAAGAGTAAAACAAACAATTGAAATAGAATAAGGTCATTTCATTTTTTTTGGCCATGGAATGTTATTCCTTCGAAAAAAAAATTTACCGGACGTCTAGAGGAGGAGGGGTCAACAAATACCAAGTATTACCAGTGTTTCTAACAAGGAGAATCCACAATGATGGCAAACTATCCAAGATCCTTGTGATATTTGATTGATACTCTATTTTACACTCTGTTCACAAAACCAAAGTGCCATGCAGACACGTATTCAGAATAATCTACAGTTTACTTTTTCATTGTATCCAACTGCAAAACCTCTAAATTTTGTGACTAATAGTGATGTATTCCATATTCAGAAATCTTCTAGCTAGTAGTATGGTTTGTTGAAACGTTTCTATATATCGACCGCTATTATCGTTTCATCTTTGCTGCAAGTTTTTAGGCAACCTATGTGCAAGCTATTTTCACAGTCGTAGATTAAAAGAATATAATAGACAGAGACATGAAATTAATTTAAGTATTTTTGTCCCATTATTGGGTATCAGTCTACTTTAGACGCGGTGACGTCATTCTCACGCAGTGCTTTGTGTGCAAAATGTATCCTGTGTGTTTAGAGTAAACTAGTATCCATTATTATTTCATGGTTTTTGCACTCAACTGTGAAGTATTTAATGAAAGCATTATTTATCAAATATGATCAGGTACTAAATGATGTACATTTTCTGTCTGACCGTTTTTTATGTATTCTAAGAGCCTCCGGATGTCGCCAATATTTTGGGGTGCGGGATCAAGCGGTTTTTTGAGAATTAGCGATGGAAAAGCAAATAGAAAGTTGGAAATTTGCTTGGAAAAAATGACAGTTCCTCAAAATTGGGTGGGTGGGCGGTGAGGAATGACATCTTTTTCCTCGAATCGGACTCCCCTGATAGATTCATATGAAAGGTCTCTTCTTTAATCTAAATCGATCAAACCACAACTTTGATACTTCGTTGTTTGAAAAAACAGAGTATCATATTGAACTTTGCTTGCACAAATAACACGTAATTGGACTCACTGTTTCAGATTTTTATCAGAAACACTGATTTTTGCCAAACATTCTTTATGCATAGTCTCTAACATAAAGATAAATTAATAAGTGCAACGATCATAAGAAAATATATCGATAGATTGTGCATACTAAAAAGCTGTTGGTTTACTGTGCTGTCTAATAATATTTCGGTAGCAATGGCTATAACAAAATTGACGGCCCGCCCGGTCCGTTGGGCTAAGTTGGTTGGTCCGCCCGGCCCGACCAAAAACTTTCTTCGAGCTGGGCGGCCCGTTTCGAGCCCTGGTGCCTATTACATGTGAGGAAATTGATCATGATACGCTTGTGCATGTTAAACGTCTTCGATGGAATGGAAATTACAATCGCAGTTACTGTACAAAGAGTTGCACTATGCATAATTGGACATCCCAGCCCACGTACTGGCAAGGTCGACTAGCTTCTTCACCGGAACAATTTCCCTGCTTTGTTCCAAGTAATTGGTACCGCCTAAGCTTTTGGGTGGATTTCAGGGTGTCGGTGTGTGTGGATGTGTGTGTGAGTCTGGATACGGGTATGTGACTGTAGATATATGTTATATTTTCGCTTACACCCACACCTGCACCTACGCCCACACCCACATCCATACCCTCAAGATAGTGAATCAAGAAGTCATTTTAACGCCAAAATAGATGCCTTTCCACCTTTTTTTATATGCACCTACGCATGAAATGTACTTTTTACTAACGTATTCGTACCTTGTTCCAGCTATACGAGTTTCAGCCCCAACGATGGTATATTAAAAAAGCGAAGAATACTCATTTTCCTACGTTAAAAAGGCGATTTTAAAATATCTCTTACGTGCGTTTTAGAGAACATTTTTCGTTTAGTAACTGTGAAAGGTTGGTCAAATAAAGGTCGGTGTACTAAAACTGATCACTTTTTGAAAGCTCCCTTTTCCATTGTTTCTCTTTTTTTGTGCATTTACACGCATTATCGGCACTTTCTGACTGCTTGAAAAGATTGTTCATAAAATGTCCCTGTTATACGGTTCACAAATTATTCAAGGTAAATGAATGATGAAATTTCAGTTCACACATTGAATTTTGATCATTCTAAGCATATATACTTAGTTTTTTCTTTCCATGTTCTGCTGTTTTCATAGGTTTATACATCAAAGTTGTACAATGTGAATACTGTTTCAGCCAATGCAATTTTTTCTTTGTTGTTTCAGCAAAATGTTAACGTGAAATCTATTCATCAAGGGAGAGAGAGGCGAATTTCTTTGACAGTCCAATCTTCGAAATTACTCTGCAATCAGAAATCAAAAATACATTTTTTTCTATTCACTTCCATTTATGTTGTAACATGTTGTGGAGCACATTCATTGGTTAGTGATATTGACAAGGTGAAAGAATGTTAATGCTGATATGTATAGTATTAGTAAGCCCCATAATTACCTTCTATTCATCGCTTTCATATATAATTACCTTCTATTCATCGCTTTCATATATAATTACCTTTCCTTCGCTTTTACTTTTCACTCGTTCGGTTATGCTCAACATCACACAGAATATTTAGAAGCGAATTTCTGATTTACAACGATGTTTCAGTCTATTTCCCATTTCTATTGCAATTATCATCCGATAGAATTGATGACAATGCGTGTTTACTCAATATTTACTCGACGTCTTCAATTTGCTATTCGATTGTTGGTATCGTTTATTATCGGTGGGTGTCTTGCGTATGGAACGCCAATTCGTAATCAACGTGCTGTAAACTATTTGCTTCCAGTTATGAGTACAATATGCATACAAGAAACATTCGCATTGACATTGTTGGGTGGCATACAAATACTATTGGTTCTTGTACCTGTGTCTATATTTCTTTTTATTGTTCAAAAAATTGGCCTTGGCTATCAAGATTATCTAGCAGGCGAGCTCTTACTGATTCTTTCAACATTCTTCATCTCGTACGTATGTACACAAGTAGGTATTCAAATGATGCAAAATAGATTGTAGGAAAGGACTTGTATAATTTTATTTGTGATCGTCTACAGTTTAAACACCACATAATCAGAGTAGATGAAAGTTGTTTCAGTGATTGAATCTCAGTCAGTTTTTTTACTTCGTGAAGTATCAAAAAGATAATCAGAGAATCATTCACAAATACTTGAATATATATATACATAGGCGCAAATTCGCAAGCTCGGTCTCGTATTGAATGTCATCTTTTTTTCTGCGATTGTCAATCTTCGAGCTGTGCCATCAACATTCATTTTTGAATTACTCGAAATGGCTGCCATTGGAATATGCGTGGGATTAGTCGTTTCGATGTTTGTTTTTCCTCTGTTCGCTACATTCGATGTTGAAAATCGTCTCATGTATTGTTTACAACATCTACAACAAATATATACTTTAATTGTACAAGCATATTTATCACCAGATCGAACAAGTGCAAATGTACTCTTGGCACAAATATCCATTGCGGACGACATGATCAATGAAGCCATGATTCCAATACAGATGAGATTGTTTGAAGTCAAAGTCGAACCAACTCGATTCTTTCAATGGATAAAAAATCCAAAAGGAGAATGGTCAATCAATCGAACATTGGAAGGTGAATTTTTTCTTCCTTTTTTTTCCTAAAAACGTGCTACTATTCTTGTTTACAATATTCTAGAGCAAGTTCATTTTGTTCGTGCACTAATGCTTCATATTTCTTCAATGAAATTAATGGTAAAACAAGCACCATTTAACGATTATCATGCATATTGCAGGCAAGATATTGAATCATCTCTAAGTCAATTGAATTCGAGCCAATCGATTGTCATTTCACATCTAACTTCAGCTGCAAACAATTCAGAAGACGATTTTGATGTGTCTCTAAATAATTTTCAATCGTCGATTCAATGGTTTCGCTGGACATATCAACGAACACGTATTCGTCGAATTGAAGATGCACTTCAATCGGGAATACCAATTCATTCTGATAATCAAGCTTCACACGGATTTTTTGTTTTTCAATTGAATGCTATTGCACAATTGCTGTTAGATATAATAAGAACAACGAAGAAGAAAAAACCTATAAAAGAGAAGAAAAAACGGCGATCTTGCAAAGAATATTTCAAAATGGATTGGTCACGATTGTTGAATGCTATTAAAATTACATTGATTATCGGAATTTCTTCTATTTTTGTTATGGTTCCTGTTCTAGCCAAAACTTTCGAAAATGGACAATTTATTCTAGTTACCGTATGCATGACTATAGGCGATACAGTCGGTGGAACGTTTACAACGATGAGAATAAGATTAATTGGAGTTGTATTAGGTAAGAATAGTCTTCGGTTTCTTTTAAATAGACTAGCCTTGTAAAACTGATATTGATTCTAATATGTTTCTTCGAAACTTCATAGAAATTAATATTTCAAAACATTTTTTTCGTCATACTCGTTGAGATAAGATCGAAATAAACAGATAAAATACGGTGGTGACTCATCTTTGCATTTACACGTTAAATTGCTACTCTGGTTTTGCAGAAATAGACGAAAAGAACTGCATAATTTTCGAATATTGATCAATGTCTCATGGTCTATTAATTAAACAAGAGTATTACTTCATTTTAATATGTACTGTCTTATTCAAGGTTCTATGTGGGCCTATATTGTTTCTGTAACGGCACTCAACAATGTTGTTCAAATATTTGGAATGCTAGCACCATGGATTTTTGGTTGTGGTTTTTTGAAATTAGTTCCTGAATGGGGTCCTACAGTTTTGGTATCCATCACGACACCAATGATGATTGTTCTGGGTCGTTTGCCATACTACACTGGAGCACCGGTCGATGCTTCTGCAGTATTTCGCATAGAACAAATTGCTGTAGCACTTGGATTAGGTGTTGTTCTCACAATAATAATTTTTCCTCAGTTTGCCATTGATTTACTCAAAGAAAATATCCAAAGTAAGTGTCGATTTGTATGCAAATCAATATTATTGATAAAACTGTCTTTGCTTTTGTAATTCGATTCTTCGTTAATTTTCATCTAGCAACACTTCAAACATGTCGACAATGTGTTGAATCTATGGATAATTCATTTCAACAAGTGTTTCGTCAGAATGATAAAAATGAAAGTTCGACTAATAGTGACGAACAAATCGACATTGAAATCAAACCATTTTTCGATAGTTATCAAAATGAATTTCATCGGTTGATGAATACTCAACAAATTCTACTCGGCTATGCATCATTAGAACCTACGTTCTGGTGGTTCAAAAATGATTGTCCAACAGCTCGTTATACATTACTTGCTCAACAGCAAAGTGATATGTTTCGACTATTGCAAAATATTGATAAAGCGGTTAGTATAAATGTGTAACATGAAGCACGTTTGTAAGCTCGAGATTTTTCCCAACAGAGTAGTCAAAGTTTAGATTACACTAAGAACAATATCACCGATATATATATAGTTTATTTTCAAATATTGTTTAGCTATTGTGCATTAATGAATGTTCGGTTGAAGATAGAATACGCATTGGACATCTCCAAGAGCAGACAATAGGCAATCGATTTTTTTCTAATCTTCGTAAACCACTAGCTGATTTGACTCGACAATTGAACAATTGTCTGAATTTGTGGTCATCCTATTTTACTTTGACACAAACACGATGTCATCGAGCGATTTATAAATGTAATTGTTCATCTTTAACAAACTTCAATGAAAGTGATCTAACCAAACATGAAACATATTTTGTTCAACTAATTCAAGCTATTGATTACTTCAAAGAACAGCATCAACAATCACTCAATCGCATGTTAGAATATTTTAATGGTAAAATCAATGACGGTGATTCACTGACAATGCTCGATCCACATATTAATAATCATCAAATTGATTCAATTTTGACTGCTGCAACGTCAATGTTCTATTCACAATGGCAATTGATTCATGCTACTCTAGATCTCGGTACAACGATTTATACGATTTTACAACTTGAAACAACAGATCTATATCAAGCATTTTAACTAATTATTCTATTCGCATATGTACAGAGTGGTCCAAAAGTTACCTACTACTCTTAAATTGCGAATAACTTTTGATAGGAACAAGATCTAGACCTGCGGTTTTCACCATACGAAAGAGCGATGTTTGGACCATCAATCTATATAATATTCACTAAGACCAAAGATGATTTTTCATGGGAGCTTTTTAATTGACATTCTTTTTTTGTGTATTTTCATAAATTGTCACAATAATCTCGTCTCAAATACCGCCAAAATGTAGCTCAAATCACCCATCTTTCGCTATAAAATTATCACTCTATGCCTTATTCCGTCGACCTCTTTTCTCAAGTGAGTCTTCGAAAAATAGTGATACTTGTATAGCGAAAAATGGGTGATTAGAGCTATATTTTGGCGTAATTTGAGACGAGATTATTGTGANGACGCACACCATGTATGTTAACATTAAAATAATCATCGGAATAATCGTCAAATGTTAATGAATTAAAATCACCTACCATCAATTGAACACCCGAATTATGTACATGTTCTTCCAATTGTTTCATCTGTCTTAAACGTACTTGTTCACTAAGTTGATCTAAATGAGTAACATACAATGTAGCATCATTATCACTAAAGAACTCATGATCGATTTGTACTGCTAGCATTCCACGTGCATTGTGATTTTCAACTGCTTCTGTAAGATAATTGACGTTACTCTTTAATGAAAATCGTGAAAGAATTGCATTACCAAATCTATGTGAAGTATTACAAAATGCAATGTAAGGTAACTGAAGTAAATCGGAAAGTAATTTGAACTGGTAATACTTCTCAGCTACAGTACCTGGTGGCTGATCCGTATGAAGTACTTCTTGAAGACCAAGTACATCGAATGACATTGGTTTTATAAGTTGAGCAAGACGATGAACATTAGATTGTTGTTTTAAGTCAGTAAAGAAATGAACATTAAGTGTGCCTAGGCGAAGTTGTGATATTTTTCTAATGATACTCATAGTGTTTCTATTTATCTAGAATACGAATCATTCTCATTGACATCTATCTTTGTATATATATATATAAAGGGTGCCCCATAATAACTGACGATAAATTGCTAATGATGTTTTTTGATACTTTTTCTTGGCGCAGATTGCTGAAATTTTTGTCACATATATATCTAATCAAGATCCTTTATTTCTGAAAGTTCCACCCTTCTACCTAATAATTAGTCAAAATAAAATGCAAAAAACGAGTACGAAAATTTAAGTTTTTCAATCCTGTCAATATATTTCACCAGTAGTTATAGCTAGAGGGGTAAAACTTTCAGAAATAAAAGATCTTGACTGGAAATATATGAGATAAAAACTTTAGCATTCTACGTCAAGAAAAAGAATGAAAAACATCGTTAACAGTTTATCGACAGCTATTATGGAACACTCATTATTAGTGAAGAAAATAATCTTTATCGCTTAATCATGACCTTTCTATCGCAAGAGAAATAAAAGCAATCTAGGAGAATTTGTTCTGCCATGGGGAACACGTTCAAAATATACAGAAAGCGATCAGATTATTCCCGTAGGGTTGTGTTTTATGGAACTCACATTATGTTTTTCGAAAAAAAAATGTAGTGAAGGTAAGTTTTAAGTTGAGATTTTGCAGCTCTACTCCCAATAGCAACGCAGATAGGGCGGGGGGGGGCGAGGAGTTTCTTAGCAACGGGAATAGGCATTGAACGGTATTAACAATAAGACTTAGACTGTTCTAGAACATTTCAACGCCTTTCTTGAAATTTAAATGACTATAATACATTTGTAAATATTTGAGATTGTGCATTTTTTTTATTTTTGCTCAAATCAAAATTTATATTCAAGACGTCAAGGATGATGGATAGTGATGCATTGATTTGCCCCAATTGTTGTATAATAGGCATAAAAAACGTCAACTGATTAAATTATAACTTGAGGAAACAATCAATATCAATATTTATGAGCTTATCAATATATAATAATATCGTAGGTAAAAAAAATACCTGAGTCATGTATTTGAAGTTTTGTCACAGAATTCGATGGCAAAGCAACCACTGGAATTTTCAGCTAATTTATCCTTTTCATTCATAATAAACTTCATTCTCTTTCTTTTAGATTATCAATTCATTTCTATCAGTGCTTGACTAAAATACATTGAGATCATCAATAAACCTAAAATAAGATAATATGCTTTATGCAATCAGTAGAGATGGCGCCATTAAACGACACAAAGTATATAGTTATTATTCAATTGAATGCAAAATAATTTATGCCAAAAGTTTTTAATCATCTATTAAATATATTTTATTTAAAAATCTTCCTTGTTTTTCATATTATTTCTTAAAATTTATTTTAAAATCAAATGTATTCACTAAGACTATAGTTCTGCAGATAAATATTTTTTTAATGCTAAAATTTCTTTAGAGACAATTTCAATAATCGAAAATCTAAATTATCTGATTTCGATAAAGTAACATTAATAAATATCAGTACAAATATAACAAATAATTTATCAGTCATTATGAATGCTGAAAGCATAAAACAAACTTCTTTTGTGAAACACGATCTGAAAGGAGTGTTGAAGTGTTTAGGGGTAGAAATTTGGACCCCCCCCCCCCCACAAACCGTGACAGAGAACCCGGGTGTCCATCACAGACCGTGACAGAGAATCCTGGGTACCCATCACAGATCGTGACAGAGAAACTATAGTTGTAAAGCATCAGATATACGGTCAGCTACAAATGTGTCATATGGAAATGGAACAAAAGGATTTCCATTTAATTAGTAACAATAGGTCCATCGTGTTTCACATTTTTAATCCCGCAAGGGATTGCGTTAACAGCTTTTTTGGTATAGTTTGATCTTCAGTTACCATTTGGATATCATAATATTTAGATCAACAGAGAAAGACTACTAAATAACACACAAACTGTGACCTTTTCTGTAGAGAATGTGTATTTTTGAGATTTTTGCGACCGAATAAATGCTAGCTAAGTATAGATCTACATAAGTTACTTAAGTGACATGCCATTATTATAAAACACGATACGTTCAAAGGAGCATTTTTAGGTCACAAAAATATTGTAACTCACCTTGTAGGTGTACTGATAAATAGCTCGAACGCATAACCTATATTTTATTGCTATTGAATTTGCTCATATTTTATCGATGAGCTTACAAATAGATCGTTGTTTATGTAACAAACAGTACTAATTTAGTATGATCCGCTAATCATAATATTTCTTTTCTCATGGAAACAGATATTTTATCTATACTTGATTAATATCAAATTTCCTATATCATTGAACTCTTTTGATTCATATGCATGTAGTTCGACATACAAAATTCTTCAAAACCTAATGCAAAAAAAAAATAAGAAAATCATTCATGTTTAAATTATTCGTTAAATTGTAAAAAAATCATATAATAGTCATTTTTCTATCTAATTTGCATGAAAGTTCATCCATGCATTTGATTAATTAGCTTAATCAAAAAGATTTTTATGTCTATATATAGAAGAATTAATATGTCGACTTACACTGGGGAACTAGAGGAGTTTTTTTAATCCTTAATTACTCGAAGTGAATTCTGATGCATTAATTAATTTGAAATGTTTGATATTTTTGATAGACAAGATATTTTATTTATCCACACGCATCTATTTTAACTTATGAGGAAAGGCTGGCTTACAAGTGTGAAGCACCGTTCTAAAATTCATGCATACCAATATGTAAACTACAATGAGAATAAAAAAATTCATCCCTATACTTTATACTTCGTGAATTATGATCATTTTATTGAATTTTTGTTCTCTGGCAAAGTACATATAAGAAAATTTCTGCTTTTACTCTTAACACATGTTAGATATTCAATAGCTTAAAAAAGGAAAGATTCTTTTTTGATTGAAAGTTTGAGAACATTCCAATGACTATAAAAACTATTTATGAGTAGAATTTCAATACGATTTGCTCATATCTGCCTTACGTATAGAGACCGAAAATCAAATGAAGAGGTCATAACTTACGAAATACAAGATATGAGGAAAAAACTTTCCTAGTCTACAAACTGATATACATCTGATTCAAAATAATGTGTCACACTTATATATACAAACCATGAACAAATACTATTAAAACGAAAATATATTGTTGGACATAAATTGATAGCAAAAAAATTTAATTATCAATAAAACTCATATATCATTCTTAATTATGTGTTCGAAATGTTAAAAAGCATTAATGTCTATGTCAAACATAAATCCATGCTAAGTCGTTCTTGTATTTTGTTGTTGTATGTTATTTGTTAATAACGGAATATAATGCAATGATGCATGAAGGACTCATTTCGATTGTATATTACTGAGAAATATTAGGTCAATTGTGAATTAACAGCAGTATGAAAATAATTATAATATTCTTTTTAGATAATAGTTAATTCAATAGAAATGAATTTATTTAGATTAGACATCATGCCGAACAGTCTGAAGAATCTAAAATAGGTAGATTATCTTCACAACTATAATATCTATATCATTAATATGACATAATTATCGATTTTTACAACATCGAAAAACTTCGACTATCTTACAATGAACAAAACAATTGTTTAAGGAGTATAATAAATCTGAAACTTTTTCGTTAAATTCTACAATCTGCTTACTTGTGCAAAATAATAATCACATTCATTCTGCACATTGTTGGAAAACTTCAATAACTCGAGTATTTTGATTTATTTAATATCTAAATCTTTTTATATAAAACAATCTTTAATAAATGAAATTAAAAATATAACAATAACATATTTTTAAATTCTCATGTAAAATTATAAAATAATTTCTCGAATATATTACAATATTAATTACATAGTTATACATCTAAATGGATTTTATTTTGTGTTTGATCGACATCAAGTTGTTAATGTATTTTTTTAAATAGTGTACTATTAATCTTACATTTACTGAGAATAGTTCAAAACGAACTAATCTATTCTGTTTTGAAATTTATCTTCATTAGAAGGTCTAATTAAATCTTTTTGTATTCTCATCTTATGTATTCAAAATTTGTATTGTAAAAACAAAAAACGTAATATATTTTTCTTTTTGTTTTTTTATTTGAATAAGAATAATTATGTCACTATATTATTTCAAAAAATATGTTATTTTAACAAGTCTGTTTTCTAAATGAATTCGTTCTATCAACGACAATAATATTATTATCATCATCGATATTTATTTGATTAACATATTATTTTTTTGATTTTGTATATTGTAAGATTGAATATTTTGAAGACAACAAAAAGTAAAAATAAGCTATCTGTCATTTTTAGTAAGTGCATTATGTGTCAAATTGAATTCATATTACACTTACAGAAGACAAAAACAAAATTTTAAGATAGATATTTTGACAATAACAAGTAGACATATACACACAAAATTTAGATTCATAATGAAGATTAATATACGTTTGTAAAGCTGTACAGAAAGAGTGATAGAATGGAGATACGAACAATATTATCAGAGAAAAAGAAAATGTCATGAGACTCGTAATACTTCACAGTATTCAAATATTTTCACTGTCAAAGGCAGACTAAGACAAAACAAAGGTAATGAAAACAACAACATTTAACTATGATAACGAATTTTAACAGGTAGTACATTGTGCTTCTTCTGGGGCTGTTGGTGCCGGCGGTGGTTGCCGTACAGGAAATATTGATTTATCTACATACAAAGAAAAAATAGTCATTTAAATAAGCATTAATGAAATAACATGATCGAACTTAAATACATCATACAGTCTATTAGTTTAAGAATTATTTTGAATTCTCTATAGTCTATACATTAATTTATCCTACAAACGATAACCAATATATATATATAAGAATAATTCAAACAATAGAATGAATTACATTTTATATTAGTTCGATCGTCTATTTAGATCATAGATAGAGAATTTCTGCTGATCATCTAAAAGTTCCGATCAATTTCAATATCTATTCTAGTATAATAATTTTGAAAAAGAACTATAATTAAGTTATATATTCTTTTTTTAGCTCATCAAAAATAGATGAAATAGTACTGTCGGTTTTTTTCTTCTTGTTTTATCTCATAGAGAAAAAAAATCCATTAGTTAAAAATCTTTTTCTATCTGACATATGAATATTAAAAAAAAAAAAAAGAAGTGTCACTCATTTAACTTACCAATGGTTTTTTCCATTCTTGACATAACTTTTTCTAATAACATTTCAATACTTTCTTTAACATTTTGTGCTGTAAATGCACTTGTTTCAATATATGGTAAGGAATATTTATCGGCTAATTCTTTAGCACGTGTTTGGGATATAACACGTGAATCTTCACGATCAGCTTTATTACCAACAAGTATCACATCAGGATCTTCACAATAGGCATGACATTGTAATTGAGCAAGCCAATTACGTACATTAAGAAAAGATTGTTCCGATGTTAAATCAAACATTAAAATAAAACCCATTGCATCACGAAAAAATGCTGTTGTTAAACTTCGAAAACTAAGAAAAAATTAAAAATAAAAAGAACAAAGAAATTTTTGCTATTACCGTTCTTGTCCCGCCTATTAAGAATAAAAATAAAATAAAAAATTATTAATAAAGAAAATAATAATTATTTACCGTATCCCATAATTGTAAATGAATTCTATATGGTTTTGCATTTGGTGGAGTTTTTGGTCGATAAACAACACGTTTTTCACGAAAATCAATTCCAACTGTTGAAATAAATTTTGGATTAAATTGTCCATCTGTATATTGATAAAGAAATGTTGTTTTACCTAATGTGACACAAAAGAAAAAATCAAGATCATTTCTATGGTTTCGTTTTTTTTCTTAAAATTAAAAACAAAAAAAAAATCTTCATTCATACCAACACCAGAATCTCCTAATGCAAGAAATTTGATCAAATAGTCATATTCAATTGATGGAGTTATCATTGAGTCGCCCATTGTTGTTATTATTGTTTTTTCTATAACACCGCCAGCATGCGACGACTGATGGAGCGACGTCGTGCTCTCACTCTCACTCTTTTCTACAATAGAACGATCGAAGAACAAAAAAAAAAAGAAAAACCAAAAAAAACTGAAGAAAACAACAACAACAACAACTTGTTTTGGTCTAATCTATCTCGTTCTAGTCGATTTTCCTGATTATCATGATGATTGTTTGTTTGAGATTGACATCAGAAGAAGAAGGAGAAAAAAAAAAGAAAAAGAAATAGCAGAGGAAAAAAAAAAGAGAAATTTGACTCCGACTGTCACACAGTCGTTTTAACCACCGACCAACTACGATCTACATCAACGACTACGATCGACAAGAGAAAGATATATCCTTACCAGGCTTTTCTTCCGTCGTTCTTTTTTTTTCCAGTTTGGCAGCGTGTGGAGACGTATAGAAAAGAATAGACGCTGAATCGACAGAGAGGAAAAGAAGTATAAGGAAAAAAAAATGGTGACAAGACTGAATATAAGACTGAGTGATTCTCAAGAGAGAAACGAACAAGTAGGACTTGTCTGCATGAACGACATGTCATCGTTTGCCGCCAGCTATCTCTTAGTCTTGTTATTTAATGAGAAAACAAGTGAGGAAGGATGTTTAAAAGGCGACGAAAGGAAATCACCAAAAAAAAAAAAAAAAAAAAAAGAAACGAAAAGAAAAAAGTCAGTTATCATTTTTATCTGTCTGTTATAAGTTTGAAGAAAAAAAAAAAACACGAGAACCAACAACCCGAAAATAATATAGAACCAGAAAAAAAAACAAAGCTTAACAAGATTTAACGAAGAGTGAAATATAATGAACATCTGCTAAGCAGTTGTTGTTATAATGAATATGAACATGAAAGTAATATTTTGATTAAGAATAATAAAAAATGTCAAGAATCCATTGTTTCACATTCAAAGACAGGTCCATTCGCAATACTACTTGATGTACTCGAATTAGTACGACTCATCTCTATAAGAATAAAGAAACAATATTTATAAGAATATCAATTGAACATTAAGAAAAACATAACTTACTATCAAATGTTGTTACAAGAAATCTCATGAGATCGGATATGGAAAGAATACCAATAATATGTTGATTATCATCAACTATAATCAAACGATGTACCTATATAGATATGTAAATAAAAAGACAAGACCTATTTCAGTTAAGTGCGTCATTCCAATTAATTCAAAAGAAAAAAAAGAAACAAGTAGGCGGAATTCTTTTTTTTTTTTTTCTTTTTTATGTTCTCCGATGAGAAATAATAACAATATCTATTTACCTCCCGAGTAACGAATTTATCCATTAATTTAAATAAATGATCTGTAATTCGACATGTTATTAATTGATGAGTTCTATGATCGTGTAGTGAATCGAGTATATCACATAATGGTACATCAAGATTAGCATGAGTGCGTGTTGCTGCTAAATGCTAATACAAAAAAAACAATAAATAAAATACTTAGATTTTGTTGAATAATAACGAAAAATAAAATCTATATACCATTATATCAAACTTTGAATAAACATCATAAAGTCTTTTGTCATTATCAACAACTGGCAATGCTGATACACGTACAGATTGAAATATGCGAAGAACTTCAATTAATTTTGTTTGTAAATCAATCTAAATAGATATTTAATGATTATGTCAAAAAAAAATTATAGTATATAAAGTAATTTTTTGAAAAAGTTAATAAATCTTATGATCTTCTGATTTTATGATAAAGACGAATCAATAATTAAAATAAAGAACATTTTCCAAATTTAATGATTCATCTTGAATCAAGATATCATATATGTAGCCTTGTAGAGCAATTTATAAAGCATTGAATGGTATATAAAGCAAATCAAATTTTTCTGAAAATTTTCATGCACTAAGAGTTCATATATAAGTTATAATCCTTGAGGAATATATATGATACTCATAGACATTGTGGTTTACTATGATGTTCTAATATAAACTTATGTAAATTTTGTTTTTAAACTCAATTCGATATAATTAGATGTGTTCTTCAATTTTTCTTTTTCCTTAAGTCTAAGTCATTTCTTGATTGTATGATATTCCAGTGTGTTCAACTTTGTATTACAGAACAAGTGAACATCAATTATTCATTGTCAACTTACAAGATTGTGTCTCAGAATAGTCATTTTTTCTATATGAAATCTCTATTTTGACGATATTTTAACGATACTCAAGGGTTCTATTAAAAATTTTTATGCACCAATCATCAGTACGGTGTTCTTAATGAACTGATATACGTGACTCCTTTATAGACGGAAAATTTTTTTTGTTAGTCTTCAAACTCCTCGAAGAGGGTAGGGGTATAGGGTTGCAAGAAGGACGTCTATTATATTTTTTTTTTCAAATTTTTATTCCGAGTAATCAGGTGTGATTTCTGTATGATACTCTAAAAGAATCTATAAATATTTCATGTTTATTTCAAAAGGAAATCTTTCCATATATCAGTTTCCCTCTCCAGGCATCTCCAGGCTAGAAAAAAAAAAACTTTTTTTCGTCTATAAAGAAGTCACTTATATCAGTTCATTAAAAACACTGTACTGATCATTGGTACATAAAAATTTTTAATAAGACCCTTGAGTATCGTTAAAATATTGTTAATATAGAGATTCCTTCATATAGAAAAAATAGCTATTCTGGGAGATAATCTTGAAAGTTGACAATGAATCCTTACTGTTCCAAAAGATGTTATCTATGCAATATATATGGCTCGATAGTGTGCAATTCTTTAGAAATTTTCACATTGATGCTCACTTATTCTGTAACACAAAGTTGAACATACTAAAATATCATATAATCAAGAAATGACCTAGACTTAAGGAAAAAGAAAATTTTTAACTATGTAGAAAGCAACGATGAAAATTATTGATTATAGAAAATTGAAGAATACATCTAATTATATCGAATTAAGTTTAAAAACAAAATTTATATAAGTTTATCTTATGGATCACAATGTCTATAAATATTATATATATATATATTCCTCGTAGATTATTACCAATATATGGATCTTCAAAACATGAAGATTTTCAGGAAAACTTGATTTCTTATATATTATTCTATGCAACGGAAATTGCACTACAAAACAACACATATAGTATCCTGCTTCAAGATCCGTCACAAAATCCGGCTAAATTCTTTACTAGAGTAAATTATTGACAACAAGATTTTATGTCAATAACTTTTTACAATAGCAAAATTAGATATTTGATTAAAATTCGAAATTCTTTCCATACTTGAATAATATGTCAGACATTATGTTCTATTACTATGATGTCTAAGAGATGGTGTAGGACATTTTCTAGGTCTCGATGTTAAAAGAAAAGAATGTCAGCATAATATTTTTTCAATACCAAAATTAGAATAAATCTTTCTAATCAAGTCTAATTCAAGAAATAGTAGAATCAAAACCAACAATTACTTTATGGTAATTGTTATCTTTATATAATTATCTTACGCTACGATAACTTAACATCATCGATATACTAATTATACTATTTTTTCTTACTTTATTAAAAAGCCAAACATATAATAAAAAAAAATAGTTGTTTATTTTCCGAAGTGGAAAATTTGTGTTTTCTTGTTTTTTTTTTTTTGTTTATGAGATGCGTTCCATTTAAAATTTTTAGAGTAGAAAAAGAATTTTATAAAATGAAATTCTTTTTTTTATTGTTAATAAAAACAAAAATTTTCATGTAATTATAACCGCGTGTGGTGTAATAAATCATAAACATTACCATAAAATCATGCATTTTTATTGTTCGCGCTGCTTCATTTATTTTCATTTAGATTGTGTAAAGATAATAATGTCATGTACATCATCTAAGAAATAATAGTACGTGTAAAAATCTCAGAACAATTAAAAAAAGAAAAAGAAAATATTCTTTCTATTTTGACGTTTGACTAATCATGTTCGATTTTTCTTTTTGAAATATTTTTTCGAGACACATACAAACATTTAAACATCGTTATTACACAAAATTCTTCATTTTTCAAAAACAATATTTAGCAAAATTCAACGAAGATAAGAATAAATTATCAAATTTACTTGATGAACTATTAAAATCGCAATAACAAATAATAAATGAAATAAATATATTTTTGTTCAAAAAAAATTTGATGAAATTAAACAAATTTATTAAGAAATTAATCGTCAACAAATACGTTATTTAGATATATTATATGCAAATTGATTTTAATCAATTAAAAATTGATCATTTAAACGACATACATCGTTTATTATTATTATTAACAAACAATAAAAATCATTGTGATGTATCATCTTATGAAATTTTTTCAAGATTACCAATACAATCAAATATAAACATCTTTATTTGCAATACGTGCTCGATTACTTGTTTATTATGATCGTTATAATTTACAAACTTATCTTAAATAAACAAATAATAAACATTTGTGTCTTAAATTACGCATACCATGTAAACAATTTCAAGGAAAAACAATGCATCTGGAATACTGTTCATATTTACAAATATTTTTAATTGCAAATGATTCGAAATTATTTACATTACAAATGCCAATGACATATAAAAATCCTCTTGTTATTGAATATTTTAATATAGCTCATGAAAATTTTTCTGGTATTCTTCGAAAGTTTTTCTTTTCGTCTAATATCATAAAATCTAATTTATTTTCTTGTCAATGCATTTTCTTAACATGCATTAATTAAAATTGATCTCAGTAAAAATTTCAACGTATGACAACAGTGGGATTATCCAAAAACTGATCATTATAAAAATGACTCACTAAAAACAATAGATAATAATATGATAAAATTGAATATTCAATTAAAAACTATTAATGATTTTGCTATTGGTAAAGATATACTTTTTTTTGCAGTTACTTATGAATCAAGTATGTTTTAATTTTCATTATTTAATGAAAATATGTTTGCTTTTCTTTTAAAATTATTTCTAGATGATATTCCATCTGATATAATTTTATGAATTTCATATTCGTTAATTTAATATGGATTTACAACATTGTCTTATATTAAATACATCTTATTGTCCATCACATATTTTTATAATTCCATGGGATTATTCATCAACATAAAATCAACAAGAACAATGTATAATAATATCTGAAAAAAGCAAAATTTTATCTCTTTATGATATCAGTTCAATAAATGTTTATAATAAAATACAGTTAATAAATGAAATGATACTTGATATTGAACCTGAATATCTTGATTTTGTAAATAATGGTTTATCTATTCTAATTATATGTAATCTTTTTCATATTGCAATTTATAAAGAAATAAATAATAATACAATGGTTGCGAATTGATTTTTTTTCTCTTATTTTTATTAGCATACTTCATTAATTTTTTTTGTATATATTATATATAGTAAGAAATAAAATTTTTCTGACTAACTAAAAACATTAGATGGCTCAATAGTTCGAGTGCTGACTTCTTAGTTCATACATCTAAAGTTCGAATTCTTATTCGATTCACTGTTTTCTTATGCTCAAGAATTTCTTTTGATTAAACTTCAATAAATTCTAAAACAGTAACAAATATCAAGATTTATTTAAAATGTTCCAATAAATTTTGAAAAGTTGTGAAAACTATTGTATCTATGGGTAAAAATTATAGGTCCTAATTCTGTTGTTTAGTTTTCTAATAATACCTGGAAGTAGGCATGCATCGAACCCGGGTACAGATCCGGAATCCCGGACTCGATACCTCCGAAGTACGGTCGCTCCCGGTACCTGAAATGCTGGATTTAGTTATTTGGATCATTGCTAGACACTCAGAGAAGCTAAGAGCATATCGGGAATACCGAGCCCGAAGTTCGTTCGTATCTGACTTCTATGGATGCCTAATACAGACCAAAGTACATGAATCACTAAATCTAATGTTTTAGGTGACAGGAACGACCGAACCCGAGAAGTTCGGGCTCGATGCATGCCTACCTGGAAGTGAGTTGAAAATTCAGTAAAATGGTCATCACTCAACTTCAGAGATCCATGGACTTAAACCTTTTAAAGTTTCTTTTTAGTCTTATCATGACATCTTTGTAGGTTCAATATGAGTTCAAACGGTGATTTACAATTCAAGTAGTTTCCTGATAAGCGGATTTCTTCTCTTACCTGCTATATTTGTATGTCTATTGATATAGATTAGTTCACAGTTTATATTTATGGAAGGGTCTATCATCAACATTAATTAGCATAATAAAATAAGGTGAAGACTGTTTTGTTTATGTAAAGTTTGAAAAGATTCAACTCTTAATCATTTTATTTTCGTTTGTCACTTGTGTTTATATGCATAACAGAACATCATCTTTTTTTGTTCGGGTCTATGCTTTTGTGTCTCTTTATTAATACTTAGATTTTTTTCATAACTGCATGTATATGTTTCGTCTGAATAAAGAATAGATTCAGAAGAATTCTCAATAACATATTCTATCTCAGATTCATGTGTACTTTAATAAGCAATAACATGCTATTTCATTTCTATTATTATCAATGTTGCATTCATTTTAAACAGAAAAAAATTAATAGTAGTGAATATCTTAAAACTGGTGTAGTAGTTCAAGTTCATGCGTATTATGAACTAGATGTGAACGTATATTCTAGGTGAAAAAGTAACTTATGTGCTTTAAAGTTTATTGTTTATTCAAAACGAATATATCATAACATGCAATGTATTTTGTACTTTTTTCGTTATATATAATATGTTAAAAGATAAACGAAGTATGCTAATAAAAAGGCAAAAAAAAAAAAAGATAAAGTAAGTAGAATCAATTGGCTTCCACTGTAATAATACGATAAATTTACATACCATTACTATCTTATCATAAGTACCAATTTTAAGCTCATTTAATGTTTGATGAATAAAATGAGGTTGAGGTAAATCATAGATCTAATTGAAATAAAATAAATAAAAATAAGATATAAAAAATAAAATAAAATTTATTCACATACATGTAAGTACAAAAATTTTAATATACGTTTATGAGTAATTAAAAATAAAAAGTCATGTGTTATAGGATCAATGACAGGTATACGATGTATTTTACGATCAATTAGTGTTAAAATAGCTGTATATAAACTAAATTAAAAATAATATTTGTTTTTCTAAATATGAAAATTTAACAATAATATTTTATTTACTTATCTTGTGGACCAAGTTGAATTAATTTGAAATTATTCGATTCATTATTAGCTCCATTTTGTTGAATTGCATCATGTTTCCAATCAAGTATTGATGAAGTTTCAAGACTCTCAACACCATTCTAAAACAAAAATGAATATTAAATTGAAAACAAACTTATCTATTTCAATAATAAATAGTCAAAGTTAATATCTATCGTTATAGTGATTAAGATTTTATAAACGAGAAAATTTCTTCAACCGATTAATTGCTTTTGAGTTGATATTATATGAATTATGTAGACCTAAATAAGATATAAATATTCTAAAAAGAGTACATGTCCTTAATTTATTGCTACAGAGATATCGCACTTTTACAGTAGTTTTTAAAATGAATGCCGTGGTAACCAGCAAAATTGATTTTCGAATTTCGATTTGAAAATTTGCATAGAGATCGACTTTATCGAGAGTAGTTTCAGATCTTTTGATTCGCTTCTATCCTGAAATAGGAACATAAAATATACTGGTTTATATGAGTGATATAAAAGACACGCTGTTACTATAGTTATATGTCTTAGAATAGAAACAACGGCAAGATTTGAAACATTCACAATAGACAATTCTTGTTACGGCTTGTCTCTATGCAAAATTTCAAATTTAAAGTCGAAAATCAATTTATCTGCTATTTCATCATTCAATAGAAAGTTCCCGTAAAAGTGCAGTATCTTCAGCAGCAAAAACCTACATGCACGAACTCTTCTCAGGATAATCATATTTCATTTTCAGTCTACATAATTCATATAGTCTCGACTCAAAAGCGATTTATCAGTGGAATATGTGTCTTTAAACTTAATCAAAAGACTAATATTTTATTTTGAATTTCATAAAAAATTCAAAAACTCCATAAACTCAACATTGTCATGCTTCTAGTCACTATGTTAGATTATTTTTTGTTTGGAATCTCTTGTTTGCTATTTTCTTCTTTGTGATAATTACAAGCACAATTTGTCATATATATAAGAAGGATTAAAATAATTTACTTTCTAAGTTAATAAAAAATTACAAACATGAATAAGTTCAAAAGGTCGTGCAGTAATTTTTCAAATCAAATTGTGACTAAGGTTCTTGTTGTGTTACAGGATTATTTAAATATGATTTAGATTAACTGATCTTCTACTAAGCACATGAACAAACTTTTAAACATGCAACGAGGATCAAATTTTTCGATATAATTAACCGACTTTATAATAAGTAATGCAAAACTTTAGCATGTAATATGATGTTTCACAATTAGAAAACAATTGTCTCAAATCGTTCTTTATATTTCAACGAAACTTTTTAGTCTAAGTCTCGAAGTCACTTCGACTATACGAGATGCGTCAAGCAATCTTGATCATAGTCTTATCATAATTTATTGTTACTTCTAGATTATGATACAACTCGATGAACTCTCATTCAATATTTGAACTAGAAAAGTGGACCAGTATAGGACTTCTTTCATCCATAGTATATGTCTTTATTAGATCAGTAATTTTATAGTTTTCTACAAAAGAAAAACTTTTAACATATTGAAGAAAACATGATCCAATAGATCAACCATTATGTGACTCACTGATGGATCACATACCGAAGTAAACTTTGAATGATTATGAGAAAATGTCTTTTATTCATTGAATTGTTACTCTAAGTTAAAAGCTTTAATAAACAAATCAATAGAAGTAAATGATTTTTCAATGATTTCGGAGACTTATAAGTGCTTTTTAGATCAATAGGAAAGACTCATCTAACTCTATTGTTTACTAATAGCTCTATTTTCTTTTTATTCTAACTAAAATTATTACAATATATATATATATATTCATTTCTATCTAAATTTCAATTCTAAACATCAATCGTTTATTTAATTCAGTTTTCTTTTACTTTTAATATACACTACCTAAATTTCTTACCCATTTAGCATCATAAGCAGCAATAAGCATATTAATAAAATCACCTATTGTAAGAAGACCAATAGTTGACGATGTTGGAGCATGCCATATAAGGGCTGCTCGAACATTATTGAATACAAGTGCAAAAAAAGCTTTTCGAATCGATAAACGTGCATCAAGTAATAGAACTTTACCGCTTTTAGGCATACAATCATAACATGTATGAGTTATAAAAAATGTTTGATAAATTTCTTCATTATCTAAATTATTGAATTTCAAATAAATAAATAAATTTTTGTTCATAACTTACTTATTCGATGATAACTATCATGTCGAACATGTTTTGAACGAAAATCCTGCTTCTGATTATAATTATATTGTATATATATACAAAAAAATAATAATTAATATAAAACTTACTGCAAAAGTACCTGGTTCATAAACGGCGCAATTAACAGACATGCTTGAATATATTTAAGAAAGTACCTAAAATACAAAAGCTAAAAAATATTATACATTATTTATCAAAGCAAGCATATATATATACAGAAAGAATGATAAAAATAAACATGCATCTGTATGCAGAAATATTTGTGCAATCATTCTTAACTCACATCTGTGTTTTTCTCTTAAATTAATCATTTTTTTTTCTAAAATTTTTTTTGTTTATTTTATCTAAAATATCATTGAATTTCTATTACTAAAATCATTTTTCTTTTATGTAGAATATTTCGCATAAAACGAACAAAGAAAACTCATGAAAACACTTCATCACACCATGTTGGCATTATTTTTTTTCCTCTTCTTCTCTCGTGTTTTATTAATAGAACAGAAATAAAATTGCGCAAAAGGAAAAGGTCAACCATATTATTTATAATGATTATTCGTATTCAGTTATCAATTAATATTTATATAAGTTGTTTTCGATAGATTATTATGAAATTTAAATAGCGAAATAATACATTTCGTATTTCTTTCAATATAAAACTAAATATATTCGTTTATCGAAGAAAATAAAACACAAGGATATGATAATGATAAGAAATAAAAAGTCCTCAGTCGTTTTTATCTCAAATAATATATCTTGCAATGCTACTTAAATAATAGGAAAAAATAAAATAAAACTCGAATATTATCAAAGTCAGTTTGATCATTGACGATAAAGTATTATTATAGTAAAATGATAACAGGACAATGTGTCGATACATCTTTATTATCAAATCTCATGTGTTCTTTCAGAATTTCTTCTTCTTTTTTTTTTATCTTATTCGAAAATTCAATAGACATATACATAGTTTACTGTTGATGGTGCCATTAGTCTATGTTGAAAAAATTTTTTTTACTAACAACCATTTTGATACTGTTTTAATTCTTCAGAACAAAACAATATTCCAATTATTGTAGAATAAAAGTAAAACCAAAGACGATTATATTATTTACAATTATTTAAATAAAGAATATTGAATAGTTTTTTTGATTTGATTTTATTCTTTTATTGTTTGAACCTTCATATTACGATGTTCGTTTAATACACATAGAATTCTAACGAATGAAAATAAATCATTTTTCCTCTATAATCAATATGTTTGCGCTACAATCTTTCTTATAAAATTCTACAATTCATAGCGCTTTATTGAATATTTCTTTTTTCTTGTTCTGTTGCTCTCGTGTCACATTATTGGCATGAGAGATTGAAAGTGTAATTTGAGTGATATAAAATGCAAATGCCACCTCCGTCACCGTCATCATCGTCCGATGGTGGTTATTTAGGCATTCCGGCTATGTCATCTCGTTTGAAAGCCCTTGAAGAAAAAATTCTACGTCAAATTGGTCCACTTGATACTACGCCGACAACAACAACAACAACAACAACGACAGCAAATCGAACAACAAGTCGAACTACAAATGCACAAACACGGCCAATACTAAGTTAGAAACAATTGATTGTTTATTTTAAATCTACATTGAATTTTTTTCTTATTATATATATATATAGCTAATCTAAATGCTTCTTCACCATCACGTGCAAGTTCAGCACCACCTATACGTAAAGGTGTCTTTCAATTACCACTTTCACCACTTCAATCATCTATAAATGCTACCAGGTAGGTGAAACAAAAGTTTGTTTGTTTGTTTGTTTTTTTTAAATTAAATAATTAATTTTTATTTTAGTGAATATACCCAAGCTAAATATCAAGAGGTGCTCAAAAATTCGGGTTTATTACACATTAATGGCGAGGTAGAAGAATTTCTTTTTATTATTATTATTATTATTTATTAAAAAAGAAACAATAAAATATATTTTTCTTTTAAGCAAAAACGTGTCGATAATAAAGAACTTAAAAATATATCAATACTTGGTTATGGTTCATGTGGACAAGTCTTTAAAATGGAACATGTACCTAGTAAAACTGAACTAGCTGTTAAAATTATGCATCGAACTGCATCTGAAGAAGAAAATAAAAGAATTATTATGGATTTAGATGTTATTATTAAAAGTTACAATTTTCCATACATTGTTAGATGTATAGGTTATTTTATTAATTCTGTAAGTAAAAAGTTTTTTTTTTTTTATATTGAAGATAACAGATGGTCTACAAAATAAATGCATTCATAACATTTTCATAATTTCATTTTTTAGCTTGATAAAAATATTTTCTTCTTTTAATAAAAGAAAACTGCACTTAAAATTCTCTACAAAATTATATATGATATAATTCAAAAAATTGTTATAGATATACATTAGAATAGTTTCTCTAAACATAATGCCATTTCATAAAGAGACTCGTTTTTTTTTTCTCCAGTGCCAGTGATAAAATTTTCATTTCTTGTAAGAAGTATTTCTCTAAATTAAAATCTTCTAGAGACAATTTTGTAGAGCATCGAACAAGTTTTTAAGCCATAAAAAAAAAAAGATTTTTCTTTAAATTATTTTTTCTCAGACAAAGAAAAATGCGAAAAACAAACATAACCCTATTACACAGGTTTTTTTTTTGTCGATTAGTTTTGAGACTCTTAACATGCTTAGAAATATTTGATTTTCATAAATATTAGTCTCTTCTGTATATATATATAATCATTTTACGTAAGAATAAAGTTACTATATGAAAACAGAAGCTCTTTAACTTCACAAGTTGTCCTTAGCGACCAAAGTTAAAAATAACTAAGCTATTGTGTAGAGAAACGAATTCAGCATTTTTTCGTAAAATTTAAAATTCGATCTTCGATATCAAAATTCAATTTTTTTTAAAGAACAAAACATTAAATTTATAGATTCGAACCGAAAAACTATGGTAGAGACTTTTGAAAAATTTTTCAAGAAGAAAAGTATATGAAAAGGGAAGTAACAATCAATAGTAATGAATTATTTTGTTTACAAATACCCTTCAGATACCTACATGAACACTTTTGAAAAGTCCACTATAGAGAGATTATACTGTATTTACAAAAACTAGTGATATACTTTCAAATATCTATCGTGATTCCGATGGAATAATTTTAAACCGAACAATAAATTTCTTACTACAAAAAAAAAGATTAATAGCACTGACTCGATCAATTTATTCCACGATTTCGGTCGTCCATATACAGTTCGAATGAGAAGCGAATGTTTCAAAAATGAAACAAGTACCAAAAAGCAAACAACCTATTGAAACAAGATGCATACTATTTCTACTACTTGAAGGTTTTAGCTACTTCCTATAATAGAGGTCAAATAGTTAATCATAACTGATCTACGCAAAAAAAAAGCACAAGCTATTTTTGCAAATTGTATGTTAGCTGAATGTTTTTAAAATTTACATGCGTTATCTTACAAAGGAACATCACTAACTAATATCATCTATTTGAGCTCATATTTTGTTCATTGGTAAGGTTCATAGAGTAGATAAAATGCCTAAAATAGTTCATCATGTTGCTGCTTCATTAAAGAGAAACAAGTTTTTGTTAAAAATGATACTATTGTATTTTCTATTAAAAAAAAGCATTTTCATATCTCAACAAAGAAACTGTCCACTAGTTCATTATTTTGTTTTTGAACTCATATTAGAAGTGTGAATGAAGAGAAGAATCTAATCTTCACGTTAATACTCATTTCTTCAACAGAAGGTACTGAAAAGAATAGAACTCATTAGAGAGAATATTCGTAACCTATATAGAAAGAAAATGAATGTGTAGGAGTATAAAAATCTCAACAAAATATATCTTGTGAAGAAGAAATATTTACTTCCGTAACGTCCGTTTGATTGTTGTTCGTATTCATTTGCATATCTATTATGTCCAATGAATAGTGATAGAAGAGGTAATTAAACGAATTGTTCTTCAATGTCTAAAAAATATTAACTAAAACATAGTCATTCTTTCTATAACATGTAATCATATGGGGGTGGTCAATTTGACTGGTACCCCGTTTTGATACAGTCCTATTGTACGGATAAAACCTACTATTGTCCGGGCCATTTAATAGAGGATCCTATATAACCCTGTATTGGCCCGAACAACACCATGTCTTATCCGTATAATAGTAGAGAAAAGCTACTAGCCTCAATCGTGAACTGGTAGCTTTTTCCTACTATTGTAAGGATAAAACATGGTGTTGTTCGGGCCAATCCAGAGTTATATAGGATCGTCTATTATATGGCCCGGACAATAGTAGGTTTTATCCGTACAATAGGACTGTATCAAAACGGGGTACCAGTCAAATTGACCACCCCCATATGTAATGTGAATTTTAAAAAAATCAACTCATGATTTGATTTCACTGTACGATTAAGTTTGATAGAAAAATATGGAAAAGACTATATTCGTTAAATCTCAAGTATATAATCTTTGTGGAGAGTTTCAAGTACTATGTTTTGATACAAAGAACAATGTGTTTTAATCAAGCAAAAAATAGTGAAGAAATCACCCATTATATATAATTTGTTATTATTTAGACGGATGTTTGGATATGTATGGAATTAATGGCATCATGTTTTGATAAACTTCTTAAATTTATTCAACAACCTATCTCAGAATCTGTTTTAGGCAAATTAACATTTGCTGTATGTTGAAAAATATTTAGATTATTATTTCTTTGTTCGATTTTCTTTTTTGCTTCTTTTATTTATAGACAGTGACTGCACTTAATTATTTAAAAGAAACACATGGAATTATTCATCGAGGTTTGTTTAAGAAATTTCTTTTTTTTTCATGTGTTTTTTAAGAAAAAGATAAATATCAATTGATTCTTTGTATTTTTCTTTTTTTTGAGATGTTAAACCATCGAATATTTTAATTGATGAAGATGGAGCAATTAAACTTTGTGATTTTGGTATTAGTGGTGTACTTATTGAATCAATGGCTAAATCAAGAAATGCTGGTTGTGCAGCTTATATGTCACCCGAACGTATTGAACCATCGGATCCAACACGACCTGATTATGATATAAGAGCCGATATTTGGAGCGTAGGAATTACACTTGT